GGGGAGGAGGTACAGGGAGGGATTGTCCACCAATGTAGATACGAACGCGAAGGTCATGTGTACGGAAAGTAATTTTGGCAATGTTAGTGGGTTTCTTTTGATGACTTCCAGGAGGAATGCAGTAGCAATGTACTGATATCACGCCCTGGTCTTTGAGACAGCCGAGCAAGTCTTCTCCACAATCTGACCAATCTTTGGTATCGACTGGACATTTTGCTGGGGAGACAGTTCCGGTACAAGTATTAAGAGTTGGATGAGGAATGGGGTTGCCAGAGAGATCAGTTAGTTTTGATAATGCTCTAGTTTCAGCTAAAGATCTGACTGTTACGAGACGGGAGCGATCGCGTCGGGTACGGAAAGACTGCCTACATGTTTTTGGAGACATTGTTGAAAGAGAAGAATGTTGCCTGGGTAAGGAGCTGTAGGGGAATCACGAAAAATCGGTCCCATTTAGCTGGGCTAAATAGAGTAGTTAAGCTATTTGTAGGGTTGGTGGTGGTAGAAAGACGGGGGCGTGTGGAAGCGGGTGTTGTTGAGGAGGGTAGTATTACGGAGAGATGGAGAATAAGGCTGTAAGGTAGTAATAAAAGGAGGTTGGGGTGTTTAATGAAGAAGGTTGTAGTGGTAGAGTTGATGAATTTGAGGAATTTGGGAGGGTAGGAATGTCTTCTGGAAATTGTCTCTGCTTGGGTGGGCAATGCACTAGTGGGCATTAAGGACTGTATAGTAGTTTGTGTTCGGAGTCGTGGTCAAAGGAGAGCCTGGGGTCGGGGAGCCGGTGGGGCTATTTGATGAAGGGGCAAGCCTCATTGCCCCTAATAAGGGTATTACATCTTCATTACTGTCCATGGGTAGCCTTGATTATGTAAAGGGAAATAAACAGTCCACCCCCCAGTTCCCTGTACGGGGGTAAGGGCTAGACAACTAAATAAGGGGAGTACTGTGCCCATGGTTCCCGCAGGCCGTTCAGGACTGGCACAAGGGACTGGAGAAGGGACGGAAACAAATCTGGAGGGGGAAAAGACCATGCAAAATTAGTCGAGTCGAGGGCTGAGGCCCTAGGCAGGGGAGATCCCTGCATTGGGTCTCAGTCTCCAAAGCCCCCCCCCACAACAACAACGGGCAAGGGATGGGGGGGGGGGATCTTTTTTGTTATGGACAGATTTTCATGAAAATGGCACATCTTTATAGATTTGTATACCAAGTTTTTTTTTTTACGCTTCCCAGTCTATTTTCATTCCGGAAAAAATTAAGTTTGGTCACATGTGGAATTTTATAACCTTTCTGAAAATTTGTATTTCATCTAATCGTTACGTCACAATTGCCTATTTTCTAAGGTGAAAAATCATATTTCGCTAGACCTCGAAAGTGGCTTCTACCACCTTAAAAAAATCAGGGGAGATTCGGAGACCCCAAAACTTTGGAAATGCATACAAATCGAAATTGGCAAGGTGCAATTTTTTGGCCGAAAAACTTGGTAGATGATCCACTATACTGCAACATTTTATGAGCGGCCATGTAAAATGTCAGAAGCATAGCAACGCTCAGAGACAGTCACCAACATCCTCACACAGCCAGAGTTCTTAATGTCCGTTTTATATAAAAGGCACGAAGTGCTAATAAAGGGGGGGGGGGGGGGGTACAGGGGTCTTCCCTGGTCTAGGGCATAAATATTAGGTAGGAAAGGCTGGGTTTGTTTTTTGGATTCGCGTGATAGTTTTTGGGAAAGTGCGTGCCCCTCTAACCGTTCATGACCCTGTAGACCACCCATTTCACCGTCTGATCGGCAGATGTCAATTTATCTATCTGGTTAAATAGGCAGTTACTTGCTGTAGGTTTCCATTATTTTTTATTTATTTATTTTTTTACCTTCCCAGTTACCCGGACCCTTGCAGGCCTAAGGTCTAATACGGTCTTTGTTCTAACAATGTCTCCGAAAACAAGTAGCCAGTTTCCTTTCGCTGCCTTGTGACAGTTACATCTACGTCCCAAGCTAGTGCACTTTCTTCCCTGACTGACTACACTGGCAAACCTATTCCTGCCCAACCTCATGCCTCTTAATACTTGTACCGGAACGGTTTCAGACTGATTCAAAGACAGGGACTAGCTAGACTGTAAAACGCCCTGCTTGCTCGCATCGTGTAATGCAGTGGCACTAGTGCTACACTATTCCTCCCAGAGGCCAGCAAAAGTCCTATACCATTATTACTTAGATTAGCTTCTACAGACATGACAAAATAGATAGATTCGCAGGCTGAGGCAGGGTGGATCCCAGCATTGAGTTACAGTCTGTCCGTCTCCCAAGCCCCACCTCATCCCCTCCCCATTATTATTATTTTTTTTGTTTGTTTGTTTGTTTTTGTTTCATAGGACATCCAACTAAATCCTTTTGAAGTCCATATATTTACAAAATTAAGCTTCACAGGCTTTGGTTAAAGGTTTTGCTGGTTGACAAGTTCCATAATACAATCATGCCAGTTATGGATTTCCCATGTGAACAGAGGAAAGATCTGGGTGGCAGGGAGGGTTATGGGGGGGCGGTATGTGGGAGGGTGACAAAATTGGTATTCTGAGCATTTCATTAACTTTTCAAATCTGTATGACCATGTCAAATCATCTGTACACTGGGGACCATGAGCCAGGAAAAGTTTGGGAACCACTGATTCAAGTCATGAGGACAGGACAATTCAAGAGGTATGTTCCCTGTCTTGAGACAATCATCTTGATGATTAATGAAGTTCATTTAACACTAATAAGAAACCATCCAGGGCCATATTTTATAAAGTGATAAAGAAACTTTTTATAGTTCCCTTCCTTTATTGCAACAGGAAACCACGGATCTAATCAGATTCACCATCGCCCTCATCAGCCTTTCCGCTTCCCTTACGGAGGTTCTTCCTCTTGACACGGCCTGGGCGTCCACCACCGAATGGACTCTTGAGGGAGAAGTCAATGTGCTTCTGGGAGTCTAGACGTACAATGAATGAGGGTACATTCACGACCTGCTTGCGCACCCTGATCGAAGTAAAAAATCAGTTCATTATAACATGTTCCTGAACTCAAGCATAAGTAGATCTGTATTACATTGCACTTCATATTACATCATTCACTTTATTACTACTTTCATCTCCAAATGAAATTTATTTAAAAGTAGGTACTGAAATACATATTTTTTTTTTGTAAATCTTAAGCAATTAGAAGAGAATATTTAGAAAACTAAATTTACTCCTTAGTTTTCAAACTACAGGTCTAAAATGCCTTTGTTTCCGAAAACATGGAAAAAGCAGCTCACCATCACAGGAAGCTCAAGCTTCACTAAGGTTAATGTGGGCCGTAGTATCATCGCAATTAAATGAGACGTTGCTAGGATATACCTAGTCAAGTGGCCTCTAGAAATAACTGAACATGAATATACCAAATGTATACTGAGGGAGGGTTGACCAATGAAGTCACATATGGTCTCACCTGTAAGTAAACAAAATCCATCTGGTATCTCCCCACAATTCCAATTACTATTCATAAAAATTATTTAGATGGTTCTTGCATAATCCTTCTGTAATAACATTAAGATTTACCTGATGTGGCCCTGCTTGATGAGGACACGTGCGTGATGGATGGACTTAGCCAGTCCAAGCTTGAAGACCTGTGTCTGCAGGCGACGTTCCAAGAAGTCCTCATTCTTCAGACCCAACACGTAATCAAGCTTCATGCGGGATTCCTCCAGGACACCAGTACGAACCAAGCGACGAAGCAGAGCATTACCTATGGAGAAACTCAAAGCCTTAGTTTCATGAGAATAATAAGACTGCTTCCATACTAAATGATAAACTGGCAGATGATCTTGACCTCACTAAAATATACAAAGTTTTGTCGGCCTCTGCTGAAGCACTATAGACATGGGAGACATTGGGATACATGTGACCTAAAGTAATAAGAGTACAAGAATGATACTTGTACTTCACTCGAAGGTAAACTAGAATAACTGTCCCTAATTAAGCCTTCACTTTTTAGTGATTCGCCAAACCTGTGCAAAACTGCAATTACTTTTACATAATTGTTCCAACTCTTTACATGTCAACTTACCTTGGAAAAGCCTTCTTGGGTCCTTCTCATCAAGGGTTAGGAGCTCTCGGGCAGCCTTTCGGATCTTGGCCAAGAGCATCTTGACAATCCATAATTCCCTCTTGTTACGTAGCCCATACTCTCCCAGAAGCTATGGATAAAGGGAAAATTAAATCATGGTTAGGTTCATCTAAACCGAGTGCAAAAATCTAATAAAGTTAAGAGGTTCATATTGCTTCTGAGAGCCATCTGGAAAAAGCGTTGTCTTACAGCTATTGACAACGTTACACTACTAGAACTAGTAATAACCCAACATTAAATGGGGTTACAGATATAATTATATTGATTGGGGGTCAGAACGACAAAGGTTGGGAACCAACTGCTCTAAGCTGTAGATGGCCATCTTCACTAATTTTGACTAGCTTAAATAGAAATGGACCCACAAGTGCAGTCATAAAGGATTCAATTATTGGTCATATCTATCTCACCTGTTCACCCTTTGTTTTTACTTTTGCCAAGTATAATTTTTATTTTTAAAATACTCCATGTCAATATCAATCAGATATAGCCAAGATTAGGTGTTCATTGTAGTATCACTTTGTAAAATGTACTTATTCAGAAGAGTAATCTAGAACACTGATTACCTAGCACAATGGATTAATCAAAATCCATGGAAAATTAACAACTTATTCCATCAATCTTTGTGATGTACATTTCTTGAAGGCTTGTTTTGCATGGGTTATTCAATATTTTGACTGAAGATGTATAAACAGGTTAATCTTGACAGTATAGACAGTTAGGGCAAGCTGAATACAACATTTTTATAGATAATAAAAAGGTGCAGTCGTTTGTGCAGGCACTTATAAGATATAAACACAGGTTTGTACAGAAATAATAGTACAAGAAACCAAGAGCGACGCGGAGAGGGAAATGGACAGTGCTGTCTTATAGAGAAAGAAATGGAATAAACAGTAAGCTGCAGCAGCCTAATTTATCAGCAAAGGATGAAAATGCCCGCTGCATATCACAGCTGAAAGTCCACAACACCCTCTACCAATTCAGGTAAGAATTCTTAATGTCTATTTACTATAGGTACGAAGTGCTAATAAATAGGGGTACGGGGAGTTGCAGATGACAACAGTAAACACTACAATTAAAGGAAATCTCTAGCAGGATGAAGCCAAGCCAAATACCTAGGTCACTACCAATTTGGACAATTAACGCAAGGCCTTCTCAGACACACGGGGCTATCTGCCACACCTTACATTTATTATCCGCAATATTTAATCATTTAAAAAGTTTGATCCTACTATTTAGTCATACTGGACCACTGAATCTCATGGTGACACTGGGTACACATATCCACAATAGAATGACCAGCATGAACATCCTTAGTCATCTTATTGGTTAATCTTTAGGGCAAATTGAATATTCTTCTAGAAGTACAAAGTTGTAGTTAATACAAGAAATAATTTGCAGACACCAATGGAAACACCACATGAAGGAAAAAGTATCTACCTGGTGCCCCTGGGTTTCAGCTCCATCTTGCCATGCATACCAAGGTGAAAATGTTTTCACCCCTCTAGCACGCCCAGTCATGGCAACTTAGATGAATAAACTTTTTGATGTGGAGTTGGGGTCTTTGGTGAGTGCATCTATACTGTATAGAATTCTTTAAATTTTCATTGCGACTTCATAGAGGTTTCTAATATTGAATATAATTGGTTGGGTTTGATAGAAAGCTTATGGCAATTTGTAAGAACAAAGAATGGTTAATGGGGATTTGTAACCAATTTCTTGGTGAAAAGGATAGTGTAATAAGGAAATCAATGGTAGAGGTTACGGAGATGGACGCACGTAGATAGAGAGAGAAATGGACACGCCATGTTAAGGGAAAAAATAGAGTGGGATGGAACTTAGAATAAGTTGGTGCAGGACTTATTACCATTAAAAAAAAAAAAAAAAAAAAAAAAAAAAAACGCCGCTATGCTCTGCGTAGAGAGGAGACGGAGTCGAACTAGATGTTGTCAGTTTAACTGTATTTCCTTTTCTCAATTCATACCCACGTTCTCTAAATGTCACGCTTCCTTTGCACTACTTTCAACCAACGTGGAAGCATTACCGATTACTAATATTTTAATCCATTACTTAATACTATTTCTACTAACATTTCCGCTCTTCCTTTAATGCTTATACATTTAAGTATTGTCCTTTGTAAAATATATTATTTTATGATGATTCATAATTTCGTTATAACGTAGATTCACTGTTAATAATGGAATGACGTTACTGCCTCTTTCCCTTAAACCCACTCGCGCCGGGTACATTTTGTAGCCAAAATTTAAAAAATCCGGGCAGCTACAAAATCGGCGGGCGGAGCCTCCCCGGAGTCTCGTCGCGGCCGCGCCGGCCGCTTCTTTGCGCGCGCCGCTTCTGCCTCGGAGCACGGCTCCGAGACAGCATCGCACTGGCGGGCAGCCCGACACTATTTTTTCCCTGTGTCTCATATGTGACACCCGGGACGAATGGGTTAATTGCCTCCCATGTCGGAAAAACAATGTTCATTACTTGAACACTTTCCGGTAAGCTCTTGACGTATAAGGACCTAGCAAGTAGTGTGCGCGGTGTGACATGTGGTAAGTTAAAAGATATTTGTGTCAGTGTTTGTTTTATATTTATAGGTTTTAAAGACATTGAAAAAATAGTGTATATTTTATCATGGTGGATAAAAGCGTTATTCAAACATTCTTTACGGTCGGTGCTGAATTCGTGGAGGAATCCGCCGGCCGCACGCCCTGCCATCGGTGGCCCTTGAATGCCCAAATGCAACGCCATTCATGGAGACGCGACAAACCCCCAAAATGATAATGGAAAAGTTAGATGCAATTTCACTTCGCCGGGGACTTTGCCAAGCGCATGTTAAAAATGTAGTATCCGGCGGATAAATCGAGCCAAGACGCGCCTGGCGACGCAACATCGCCTGGAACGAGTGGCGACCGCAGACGAGACCCGCGGACCAGACTCCGAAAGCCAAGTTCCACAGAATCGGATAATTTCACTTCTTCACTTCCTCGAGCCTTACCTTCAGCTCCTGGTCGAGGCGGGACTTCTCGTAGGGCCTCCTGGGCGTGGAGTACCGCTTGCTCTGCACGCGCTTTAGCCTGTGGTTCACCATCTGAAAAACAAACAAGATTCCCTTCAACTCGTGACGTGGTTTTCAATCCTTGAATATCTATCTGAACCGAGGCCCATCGGCGTTGTAAACGACACTGGTTCACTCCCACACTATTGCACGATATATTTCTCACATTCACGGCGGTATATTCACTTTGAATTAACAACGATGAGAGGAAAAGAGAGACGGCGAGGAGATCACTCTGCTCCCATACCTTTGCGGCTCTGAAAGAACGAGGGAAGAGGCAGGGAGCAGTAACTACA